GTGTAAACCGCATTCGACGACGGCGAGGGTGTTGGAATGGCCATGTCCCTACTCTCTGTGCCACCAACACCTCATCACACCTCTTCGTTTCCCCGCCCTTACTCCTCCACTACACGGGTGCATCTCCCTCGCTCCTCAACCTTCACCTTCACCAAGTCTACGGTTAAGCCCCTCGTCCCTCTCTCTTCGTCTCCTTCTTCTCCATCTTCTGTTGTAGAAGATGATCCCATTCCTACCCCGTCCTCCGATGCCATCCCTGTACAGTCAAAATCTGATGAGCTTCCTTTCAGGTACCGCACCCCTTTCTCTCTTGCTTGTCAATTTGTAGAACCCTTGTATGCCCCAGTCATTTTTTGCTTGCATTACATTCATGACATATGGTAAATTCATTGAGGGATATAATATACTATAAAAGCTTGTTGATTTGGTGCAAATTGAGAAGCATCTTTAGAATTACTTACTGGCTTTGGCCTGTCGGATAAAAATGGATGGACGTACTGTTCAATTTCCGAATCTTAGTAGAGGATATCTATACAGGGGTTGTAAAGCCTGTGGAAGAGAAGAAGTGGAAAGGGGATGCAATGGTGAAGGAAGGATTCAAGGTGGGATTGCAACAGTCCCAGGATTTGGATGGTGGCCAATAAAGGTCTACAGGCCTTGTCCTGGATTTTTGGCTTCCGGTGGTAGGTATAGGCGACAGGGGCAAAGCATGGATGAGGTTGCCTTTGGAAGGGGAAAGAGAGGCAGTGCCAGTGGTGATGCTGGTGAGTGATGAGGATCAATCAAGGTATATACTTGTATTCTTTCTAATTGTATACTACTTCTTTGATAGAGTTTCTTCAAAGTCATGGGAAGCATTCCAAGACTCAATCTTTTAATATTTGGAAGATTTGGTTACCCAACCGAAAGCATCATACCCCTAATTTATTATCTGTATAATGTATTTTTAGTAACAAAACATCACTGGTAGAAGGGAAGAGGGCTGGCTGCCTTCCACTTTTAGGTAGATGCCTCAATTTTGTCAACAATTTTAGCCTGCCAAATGCCATAACTTTGATATATATAGTTTTATGTTCCTTATTTTCTCAATAATATTGGTTTTCAACTCATTGATTCTTATTTCTACAACATTTAAGTTGCTATTGCAAGATTAAATCACAGTAGTCAAGTGAATGTAGAATATCTGAATTCAAATACGTTTGTTGCATAGGAAAACCGAAAACATAACTAAATTGTGAGAGAAAGTTCAAATAGAAACTCATCTCAATTAAACTCTCTTTCTCCTACAAGTTTCATTGTTTGAAGGCTAAATAAGTTGTGATATAACTACATGATTTGTTTGTCTTGCAGCCAGAAAAAGGAAGGTCCAAGGAGATTCAAGAGATAACTAATTAGAGCACTGGAAGAGATAGAGATGTAAATGTGCCTGCATAATGCAACATAGCACAATTCAGTATATACTGTATAATCTGCAAGCAATTTGATGTAAATTGCATGGAGCAATGGGTCATATATTTGTCAAGCGACTGGCAGCATACTTTTCTAAGTGCCTATGAATGTCTTTATGAATGTTCCTGTTCCTTCAATTCCGAGCTGATATATATATATATATATACATCATGATATCACACAAGTAAATTTGTTTATATCAATTATTTCAAGTGCTTCAATCCCTCATTTCTTGGAAGGAAAAAAACTATATAATGTTCATGTCCTCACTCGTCTCATTCCATCTACTAGTAGTAGTAGTAG